AGCTGCAACTGGAATCCTACCTGATTAAGTTGGATGGTTATTTTCCAACATCCCTCTATCTTCTGCCACACTCTAGTCAAGGCACAAATACCTCTGGGTCTGTGAATCAATTCAATTCTGAAAATTAGCTAAGAAGTTCTGACTCTCAACTATTGTGACTTAAGTCAGGCTTCTTTAAAACAGGCCTAGAGCTCTGATAAATGAACCTAAATTCCAACCCAATGGGAAAATGAATTGTCATCCATCTCTTTCAGTCTTAGGGACACCATGAGCAATTTGCCCATGCCAAAGATCTCTGTGGATCAAACCTTTCTGATTACTGCTTCAGCCCCGATGCCCATCTGTCCCTGGCCTCTTCTTGGCACTACTCCTACAAGCCATCAACCTCATTAGATTTATGAGGCCCATTTCAATGACAGCATCTCAACTCTCATTGCTGGACCACAAAGAACTGCCATTACAGAGACTTCAAGAATGCCAGCACTCTCTTCACCAAGAATTCTAGACCTATCAGGGACCAGAAATAGGGGGGTGGATATGCCGATATTACATAAAAATCCACTTCAGCATTCCAATCTCACTCAGCCTTTAGATACCGTCCTCAGTATACCAAGTAATTCCAGGCTTGCCAACTTCATTCAGTGTAATCCACCGCTGGGTTCAGATTTCAGTCAATCAGATGAGCAGACTGTTAGTGCTATTCCGAGCTGCTCAAGCTAACACATCAAATCCAAAATCTGTGGTAATTCCATCCATCTCAATAAATTCAGTCAGATCTAACATTACATTCTTTTCACTCTGACTGAGTAGACTTTGATCTATTCTCATATCTATCAGTTACAAATTTTCTATTGCTGGGTAACAAATTATCACAAATTTTGTCGCCTAAATAACAATGCCCATTTATTATCTCAGTTTCTCTCCGTGAAGAGTCTGGGCATGGCTTGATTGAGGCTTTTCTTGGGACAGAGCCTTAGTCAAGGTGTTAGCTGGGCTGGTTTCCTTTCTGGAGTATGGGGTCTTCTAGGCTCACATAGTTGTTGGCAGAATTCAATTCCTCGCAGTTGCAGAACTCAGGCCCTGATGTTTTGCTAGCTGACAGCTGGGGTCTGTTTGCAGATCCTAGCATCCACTTCAGGTCCTTGACACATGGTCCCCTTCAGGCCCTCTCATAACATGACAGCTCATTTCTTCAGTGTCAGCAGAAAGATCTCTTGCTCCAGTTTGCTAATACAGAGTCTTCATGTAAGGTAATCATGGAAGTGATTATTCCACCTTTGACATCTTCTGTTGTCTAAAATGAAGCCACAGGTTCTACCCACTTTCAAGGAGAGAGGATTATACAGAACATAACTGTGTGTGTGTTGAGGGGGTCCCTGTAGGGTCAGTCTGACACAGCATATGTATATCCCAGATATCTTCTGATATCAACTTGATAGCTATTGCAATTATTTTGATATGTAGGGTAGGTAATATTTGATACCAAAATAGCCTGGGAGCTGCCAAGATTCGAGTTTAGGTATAGGTTTAGGAGCAATGAGACATGATGAAGATGGTCTTGGGGACGGGGAAAGACAACTACTTTAGGAGAGAACACTATAGGTTCTTCAGGCAAGGGGAACGCTAACCTCCTCAGGGGGGAAGGGATGCTTCAATTAGCAAAAGAAGCCAGTAGAATGTCGGGTTTAATGGGCTCAGCTTCAGACGGATCTTTCATATGTCCTCATCTCAATTTTGAGGGTCATACGCTTTCTTTCCCAATCAATGCCTTATCATTAACATGAGGAATGGACTAGGTTGTGAGTTCAAGTTGCTTCATAATTGAGCCCACCATTGGATTAGAATTTAAGTTTGTTTATCAGAAATCTGTGTGGCCACAGGAGATAAGATCTACTTTCGAGGGCCAGCCCGGTGGTGTAGCGGTTAAGTGCGCACATTCCGCTTTGGTGGCCCGGGGTTCGCTGGTTTTGATCCTGGGTGCAGACATGGCACCACTTGGCAAGCCACGCTGTGGTAGGCGTCCCACATATAAAGTAGAGGAAGATGGGCACGCATGTTAGCTCAGGGCTAGTCTTCCTCAGCAAAAACAGGACGACTGGCAGTAATTAGCTCAGGGCTAATCTTCCTCAAAAAAATTTAAAAAATGACCTACTTTCATGGCAGTCATAGAAGCTTTCTGGTTCTTTAAAGCCCTGACCTCATTTTCTTTCACCAAGTGTGGTTAGAAGCAACCAACTCACCTCAGTCCTTATGCTTCATTGTCTTCGTTAAAAGAAATAATTTTACCTGCTGCTTGGGCACCCACAGCCTTGTCTTCTATAGGCACTTGACCCTGGGTGATGATAGGTGATAATTTAAGTGATGTTCTGTCACTGAATGTCATGAATTACCACCAACCAGGGAGTCCATCTTCTTTTTACATGTATAAAAGGACAGACTGTGGAAGCTGAGACCTCTGGGGAAGCTCATTCTCTGTATGCCAAGCAGCAGGCGGTGTGCCCGAGGTCACTATGGGTCTTCAGAGCCAGGAAGCCCGGGGGCAAATCCAACGAAGAGCAGAAGAGAGTGAGGGCAGGCAGGGGCCCTTGAGGCATCTCTGCATGTTTTTTCACCAGGCTTGACCACGATGACACAATACAAGAGGACTGTACTTCCCCGTGGATTTCCAAATCTGACCAGTGGCAGCCTGAGTGTCCTGGATCCCTGAGTTCTAACAGAGAGTGAAGTGAAACTACAGTGCAGTTTCCAGAAAGTGGAATATAATGGATAAGGGAGATAACCACAGAGGTTAGAATCAGGGACCAATCGGAAAACTTATACCAAGCTGATAGCAGGAAGATCTCACTCTGTCTTGTCCACCTGCATGGGTGACTGGGATGTGCTTCTCTCCTCTCACTTCTCTGAATGGGTGTTTTAAATTAGTTATTCTCTTCCTTCCCACCCATTTTATATTGGATATGTTGGAGGCACATAAACTGTCTCGACCACAGGGACCCTGGACGTGATATAAGCTTCTACACATCACCTATGATTCTGAACTTCAACCTGGATGCAGTAACTGGATGAGAGTTTGAGGCTATATTACGTAAGGAAGAGAAGGAGTACATTACCTGTAGAGCTTATTAATGTGATGGGTTTGAACTGATGCTGACTAGTGAAAGGGATGATCTGTAGAAGATAAAGACATGGTCCACTCAATACCCATCCCAAGGCCATATCCCTTATTTACCTCTTTTTCTCTATTAATGAGAATCGAAAATGAATGCATCTATTTCGACCCTTCATTGTAGTGTCAGGTGGTCTTGTGACATTATTCGATTGGATATAATATAAAAGTCTCGTACAGAGTTTTCCTTTTCATCCTTTTTCTGAATGAAAGGGAAATTCAATGCCTAGAAGTACAGCCACCAACTGCAACTGTGAGGACAAAAGCTGCACAAAGGAGGGTGGAGCAAAAAAGGACAAGTGGCCGAGGTAACAACAGCATTGTGGAGCCACCGCACTAGCTCTGACCTGACCTCTGCTGGACGTGAGGGAGAACAGAAACCACTGAGTCAGGGTTCTCTAACTTGCAGCAGAACCAAGCCATAACTGACACACATCTTCAGACTTATCAGCTGTGTAAACCTGGGGAAGTTACATAATTATTGTGACTCATTTCTAGCATATATGAAATGAGAATAATAATAATAAATCATAGCGTTGGGCAAATTCAATATGAAAATCTATGTGAAGGATTTCAAACAAAATCTTTCAAACAATAAACACTCAGTAAATAACTATCATCAGCAACAGCAGCAGCATTATTATATGAGGAAAAGTTCAATCTGACTACTACTCAAAAAAATGAAAACATAGTATGGGAAACTTTTTCCATATTATAATATTTCAAAATACATCACAATTTTAAAAAAAGATATCAGGGGCCAGCCTGGTGGTGTAGCAGTTAACTTTGCACACTCCACTTCGGCGGCCTGGGGTTCACTGGTTCAGATGCCGGGCGTGGATCTAGCCCCACTTGTCAAGCCATGCTGTGGCAGCCGTCCCACATAGAAAATAGAGGAATATGAGTATGGATGTTAGCTCAGGGCCAATCTTCCTCAAAAAAATAAATAAATAAATAATTTTTAAAAAAAGAGAGGGTGCGGTGAAATATGTACTCTGACATATCATTGGTGGGACTATATATTGGTACAATTCTTTAAGAAAGAAATTTTGTAGTTGGTCCAGAGGATTAGAAATATCCAAACCCAATAATTCTACTTCTGGGTACTAAGCGTAGAGAAGACTTAAAAATACCAGAAAATACCAAGAAGATGTTAGCTCAAATGCTACATATAACCGTGAAAACTGGAAACAACAGAAATGTCCAGCAATTAGAAATGCTTAACCATATTATAGTAATTTTGCTGAAATGTATCAAATGGTATAGTCAATAAAATTCTGTTAATGAGGTAAATAAAATAGCATGGAAAATATATCATAATATTAAGGGAAATATTGGCTGCATAATGGTACATCTAGCATGAATAAAAAATTCACTCAAAAGTAGGAAATTTACCAAAATGTTAACATTGCTGATATCTAGGTTATGAAACTATAAGTGGTATTTTCCCCCTACTTCTAATTTCCTCTATTTTACAAATTTCCTCTAATGAATACGCTATCAATTAGGATGGTTTTACCTGCAAGTAACAGAAAACCTAACTTGGTTCAACAAAAGGAACTTTCTTATCTCACAGAACTGGGAAGTCCGGGGCAGACTGGGATTCAGATGCAAAAGGGCAATGATTCAACATCATTATCGGGGCCCCAGTTCTTTTGAGCTCTCCACTCTGTGTCCTCAGTGTGGGCTTCATCCTCATGGTTTCAACAAAACAGCTGCCAGAAAAAAGCCACATGCTCACTAGCTAAAAAGAATCATTCTCTGGAGTAAACAAACCTGGTACTCTGTTAGAAAGAAGGGAGAAGCGAATTGATATTGGAGAGATAAGCAATGATGTCTTCTCCAAATTGTTACTATTTTAATTTTTCAAAGTACATTTATTGCCTCCAAGATTTTGAAAGTAACTCATTTCATTGTAGAAAATTTGGAAAACAGAGGGTATCAAAAAAAGCTCACGTGTGATCATATTACATGAAACAATGATTGTTAACATTTTGGTTCATTTGTTTGAAAAATCTAAACAGTACAGATACCAACACTACATCACATTGTACCATATGGAAATAACATAATTTATTCAACCAATTCCCTCTTATAGGTCATTTATGTTCATTTCATTTTCATTATATTTAATGCAGCAATTAATACCATTGGATGTAATATTTCACTGGATTTCTGATTCACTTTCTTAGGATAGTTTCCTTTAAGTGAAATTACTTGACCAAACTTATTAAGGTTCTTTTTACATATTGTCAAATGAATACATATTACACATTTATAATGGGAAAATAAATCTAATTAATAAAATACAAAATGGGAATAATATTTGCCCTGAAAACTTCACAGGTCCATGTAAACATCAGATCCTAAATTTTTTTTAAAATGTCCTGTTAAAATTAAGGCATTATAAAAATGTAAGATATTATTTTGATGCAAACAGAAATAATAAACACTTGAAACTGCCTTATGACAGTAATCTCTCTGAGGGATTAGTTTATAATTTTTATCATACATATTGTCATCACTTTAAACAACTTTCAACATTCCATGTCCTGTTAATATAATAGAAGCAAATTTTATCTTAGTTATTGAAGTACTGATAATCATGGGGCATTCATAATCTATTAATTAATTTAAGAAATTATTAAGCACATAACTACGTGCTATGAAGAAGACCAGGAAACTAGAAATACCCTAGTATTAACTGAATGTGGACGTCAGAAACACAATCAATTAAAATAAATGTGATAAGTGATAAAATAGGGCAAAGAACATTTCACTATGGGAACCAAGAGAAAATAGTAATTAATATTTTACTTTCATCTTCTATTTTGTCCTCTGCTTCTAACGTCTGGCCTTGTCCTCCCTCTGCAGTTGGTGTAATCTCACTTCCAGCCTGCCTTCACGAGCTACATTTCATTCCTTACTACAATCACTCTCCTACTCTTGTCTGTCTACCCTCATCCCAGACCACCCATCTCTTCCTCATTAGATTCTCATCTCCAACACCTGTCATCACCATTCTAACTCTGCCTCTGCTTTGCCAGGCTGGCTAGCTAGTGAGCTGATACTGTGCATTCCTCAGAAAAATATATCCTAAGTGAAATTCCTCAGCATTTTTAAATGATAGGAAAAAGTAATCCAAACTTACAGAGCACAAAGGAAAGAACAGGTATTTCGATTCATCTCATTATACAATTCAGACTTGTGGAAAACTTTAGGAGGTCACACTGCTTTTGGAGATGGAGACGTAGCAGGTCTTCAACTAGTTACAGAAAACGTGCTAGAAGAGCAACTAACCCAAACAGTACAATGGCAGTTATGTTACTCACTAGAGGAAAGAAGGCTCTAGAAAAAACTCTAAAAGCCAAATGAAAACAATTACGTCTTGGTTATGAAAGTCTAAAGAGATGTTTTTAAGAAACATCACCAGGGCTAAAAAATAAATATCATTTCTTTTCCCTTTGTATTTGTGTGAGAATTCCTGGATAGTATTTGTCCATAGGATGATGAAATGAAAGGCTAATTTATTAACTGGCTAATTTTAGAAAGCCTAATAGATTCTAGGTATAAGCAAACTTTTTTCCTGTCGATTTTTGCACAGTTATATCTAGATCCAACCTATGGATATTTGCCATTTACAAATGTTTATGTCCTAAGAAAGGAAATATGAAGAGACACGTTCAACAGAAAATGTCCAAGAGAGTATAAAGTGAATAAAAATGTATATACAACAATAATTAGAAAATTGAGAAACTACTAATTTTGTAAGTTACTCATGTGTTTTCCTGGTACTTAAATCCTTAAATTTTTGGTAATTTTTCATATTCAAATATAGCATCTCAGTGTGAGAGAGTGTAAGTATTAGGTTGTAGTGGCAGTAGTATCTGTCACATAATACTTTAATAGTGAAGGAAATAAAATAAAAGTGGCGATGATTGTTTGATTCTTTCCCCTGGAGGTGTTGTCACGGAAAGAAATTGCTGAATTTCTCTTTCTTTCCACATGGTGAAAGTTCAAATGTTAATTTAGGAACATACAATGATTACTCCATTCTAAAACGTCACAAAGGTAATTTAAAGGACTTTAAATCGTAAAGTTTATGACAGCCACATTGAACTATATTAGAAACTCATGATGTTTCTGGAACTAGGTCTTGCACTAAAGTGGTTAAAAATCTCAAAAATAAGACTCAGAGGCTTTTGAAAAAGTGACTTTGGACTATGAAAGGTCAAACTAGAAGAACTAAAATTTCATAAAATTAAATCAAAGGAATGAAATAAGCTGAAATTAAAATGACTGTGGAAGAATACAGTAAAGATAGAATGGGCTATCTTGTAAAAATTCTGAAAGACCTTTTGTGCTAACCCGATAAAGTGTATTTGAAACTATTTTTAAAAAGCAGTGATCCAAGAGAGATTTTGTAGTAGTATGGGGGTCTGGCATCAATGAATAAAGATTGCTGGATGTTCCATTCATAAAGCATTTGGACATACAATGTTTCAATTAAAATGATGACACCATTATTTGTAAAATCTAAGATATTTAATTTTTGCATAATAGTGATTTATTGTATAGTAATATTTCAAAAATATACTTTCATGTTTAATAAACCACCAAAGGACTCAAAAGAATGGCCTACAAGCATGTTTTTGCTCCATACACCAGGCTGCTATTGCATGGAAGGCAGTGAATTCCATCACGTGGATTATAAGATCCAGGGCTGCAGATCACTGTGAATAAAGAATAATCTAATAAGTAACAGTTTCCTCAAATGCCCTGTCAGTTAGTTTTACATAGAGGATAAATTCTCAAAGAAGATTCATTTTTATTTATTATTTTTTTAAGTCGTCGTAAAATACATATGATATAAAATTTACCATTTTTAAGTGTACAGCTCAGTAGTGTTAAATATATTTACATTACTGTACTACTAATCTCCAGAACTTTTCATCTGGGAAAAGTTACAACTCTATCCCCATTAAACACATCCCCATTTCCCCCTCCCCAACCCTTGGCTGCTACCATTCTACTATTTGTTTCTATGAGTTTGACTACTCTAAACACTTCATTTAAGTGAAACATTTTAACTTTTCACTCTGATCCTGGCTTAGACCAAGACTGCAACCTAAAATAGTTTTACTGATCAAATAATGTTGAGTTTAGAAGGCTGGCAGAAGCTTCAGGAGGTGAAGACCATAGGTGGAACCAAATGTGACTATCAGATGGTCCATAATTACCATGCCTTAGATGAATAAAGATAACCCCAAATATGGGAAGGAGTTGCAGCTTATTTCTAATAATCTCCTGATTTCCAGTCCTATTTCTATCACTTGTCAAATGTGTAATATTGGAAAAATTTAACTAACTTAACCTAACTCAGTTTGATTATCCTTAACATAAGGATAATGTATGTGATGAATATGTTACTACAGCTACCTCTCCATGACAGAAAGGAAAGAAAGATAGAAAGAAACCAAGGTCAAATACATTCTCTGTCATTGGTTAACCTTGGGATCCTGGGTAAAGCAGTCAATTCTCTCTTAGTTCTAGTTTTCTCATTTATAAAACAGATACAATAACAACCAAGTCCATACTATTATTATGTGGACTAAAATCAGATGACTTGGATGAAAAAGCATCCAGAGTGTTTATCACAAGCACTCAACAATTAACCCTGTGCACTGTGGGAACACTGTCTCTACCCACTTCTTCCATTTGGGGCAGGGCATGAAGGTCACGTGATGCCACCAAGGCCTGTACTTGGGCCAAGGTCTCTGATTATCCTGCTCCTCCTTTTCCTACTGCACACAGTCAGCCAAGGATTCACAAAGATGTTAATAGCACATCTAAGGCGTGGTTATTATGGGCCATCAAAGAAGATTATTTTTTCTAGCACCATGATTCAATAATACATGTTGCTGTTTGGATTTGGATCACATTATATTATTTAATTTCATATCATTCTTTTTAAAATATATTTTTTCAAACTGGGGAATATTTTAACTGTTACTAAGAGAAAATATTTTCCATTCTAATTTCCACAGAGTTCCTCAAGTTTTAATAGGCATTTTGGGGAATAATGTTTTAGATAGAAAAAAATATTGCTTAAACAAAGTAAAATAGATTTATTTGATATAGTTATAAACAAGAGTGTCTGAAGTGGCAATATATGTAGTAAAATTCTAACGATGTAATATAATGTTTCTCAAAGTTGTGTGATCACGGTACACTTTCTCTCAAAACACATATTACTATTTCTTGAAGCACAAATATGGAAATGCTGTGCAAAGGTACTGAAAGTGTTAAATCATTACACATGGAAAAGAGAAATCTGAAGGCAGTCTTTCCACACACGCTTTATGTTGAGTGTCTCAAACAGAACTGATCCTGGAATAAAATCATCTAAACCCAAGTTTAAATAAATATTATCTTCCAATAAATATTCTCAGAATTACCAAACTTTCATAATACAGCATGTGTTATACCACAGAGTCCTTATCTTTAGCGCTCTCTCCTAGGATATCTCTTAAAATATGTTATTCTCTTTTAAGTAGAATTTTTAAAAATGATAAAATTCTATTTAAATTTCAAGTACAAGATTAGCAAAGGTATCTTCCAGGGTTGACTCTCACTGAGTAGAACGTCTCCCACCTACAGTTATGAGAGCAGCCTGATTACATCTTGATTATTTCAATAAAAGGAGGAAAAAGCATTGGTGACTGATCAGTACTGACACATAAAGAAATGATAAGTACAGGAAAAAACATTCACGAATTCTGGATAAGGAATAATTTTTCAAAAAGGGAAACGACTAACAATAACAGAAGACTTTTGTATATTTTTGGCATTAAAATTAAGAACAATAAAAATCATAAAAGTAAAATAGTCAAGCAACAAAACTGGGAACCAGTTGCAGCTATATAACCAACAGAGGACTGTTTTTCAGAATATACAAGCAATTCATATAAATCAAGGAGAAAAGGACAAAAAACTAATTTAAAAATAGACACAAAACAGAAAACACAAATGTTCAACTAATGTCATTTTTATTGAGCCACAAAAAAAGTGCTCAAATAAACATCAAACTGCAATACATTGAGAGCGACTTCAGCAAGATGGCAAACTAGGAGGTTCTAGGCTTCCCCCCTTCCCCTATGGAAACCTTAAACAAACAACTAGAGACAGGCTAAAATAACTTTGTAGGAGCTCTAGAAATCAGCCAAAGATCAACAACAACCATATCAACACCCAATTGAGGAAAAGTCATGTTCAAAGTGCAGGAAATTTGTGGCATTTTCATTTGTCCTTTCACCAGCCCTTCTCCAATGCAGAGCCATGTGCACACGGGAAACAGCAGCCTAGTGCTCACTTCACACCAAGAACCAGAGAGAGCAGAGCAGACTCAATTGGTACCAGTCTGACAGTCACCTACGGGATTGGTCTCTGTGTTACAGATGTCAGAGCTAGTTCAAACCTCAGCCCAGGGAATGCCTTGGGCACATTCCTGAAAACACAAGGTGATTACAGACCCACAGATGCCTGGGGCAAGAGATTAGTGATTGAGGAATACAATAGAACACCTAACGACTACAGAAGAAGCAGTGTGAGACTCGTAGGGAAATTAAGACTTTTAATGCAGCCAAGTACACAGAGGAATCAGAAAAAAATGCAAATCAAGATCCAAACATATGAAAAGGTGTTTAACATTAGTAATCATTAGACAAATGTAAACAAAACTAAATGAGATATCACTTGACACTCACTTCACACTTATAACAAATCTGTATCATCCATCTGGTACTTAACACATTCAGTTACTGATTACAAGTTATACGTTCATATGTGTCAGATTTATATCCAATTAGATTATACATTCCTTGAAAGCCAAAATGGGCTATGTTTTTGATAATTCCCTGTCACATAACTTAGAACCATGTTTGATAGTGGATAATATAATAAATTCTTATCTAATGTTAAAATAAAACACTGAAAAAACTAGGAATAGAATGCAAGTTGCTCAACCTGATAGAGAGCCTTCAGGAAAACCCACAGCCATAATCATACTCAATGGTAAAAGACTGAAAACTTTTCCTCTAAGATCAGAAACAAGATAAGGATGACTACTACCTTTGCTTCTACTTAACACAATATTGGAAATCTTACCCAGAGCAATTCAGGCAGAAAAAGAAAATAAACTCAAATTGGAAAGAAAAATTAATGTTATCCCTGTCCACAGACGGTATGATCCTATTGGTAGAAAACCCTAAAGATTCCACAAAAAACCTATCTCACCTAATAAACAATTTCAGCAAAATTACAGCATACAAAATTGGCATACAAAAATCAGTTGTGTTTCTATACACTAAAATAATCTGAAAAGAAAGTTAAGAAAACAGTTCTATTTCAATAGCATCAAAAATATACTACTTAGGAATAAACTTAACTAAGGAGGTGAAATACTTGTAAACTGAAAACTACTAAAAATTGCTAAAAGAAATCAAAGAAGACACAAATAAAGGAAAGATATCCCATGTTCATGGACTGGAATATTTAATATTGTTAAGATGTCAATACAACTGCAAACTACATATTCTATGCGATCTCTATCAAATCCTTGCGACATTGTTTCCAGAAATAGAAAAACCCACCCTAAAATTGATTTGAAATCTCAAGGGACTCAGAACAGCCAAAACAATTTTGAAAAAGAACAAAGTTGGAAATCTCATTCTTCCTGATTTAAATACTACAAAGCTACAGTAATGAAAATCGTGTGGCACTGGCATAAAGACAGAGTTACAGACAAATGGAATAGAATAGAGAGCCTAGAAATAAATTCTCAAATGACTTTTTTAAAAGGTAACAAGATCACTCAATGAGGAAAGGACAGTCTTTTCAACACATGGTGCTGGGGAAAGTGGATATCCACATGCAAATGAATGAGACTGGACTCTTACCTTACACCATATACAAAAATTAACTCAAAATGGATAAAAAACCTAAATGTAAGAGCTAAAACTGTAAAACTCTTGAAAGAAAACATAGGAAACCTGCTTCATGACATTATATTTTGCAGATTTTTATATATGACACCAAAAATGTAAGGACAAAAGACAAACAGATATATTGGACTACATCGAAATTAAAAACTTTTGTGCATCAAAGAACGTTATGAACAAAGTGAACAGACAACTCAAAGAATGGGAGAAAATATTTGCAAAGCATATGTTAGATAAGGGGATTGATATCCAAAATATATAAAGAACTATAACTCAACAACAACAAAAATTAAACAACCCAATTAAAAAAACAGGAAAAGGCTTTGAGTAGCCATTTCTCCAAAGAATACATACAGATAACCAATAAGTACATGAAAAGATATTCAACATCATTAACCGTTAAGAAATTGCAAGTCAAAACTACATTGAGATACCACTTCACAAACCTTAGGAGACACTGCTAGGATGCGGAGAAACTGTAAGCCTTGTGCTTTGTTGGTGGGAATATGAATGGTGCAGCCTCTATGGAAAACAACATAGTAGTTCCTCTAAAAGTTAAAAATAGAACCACCATATCATCCAGCAATTCCACTTCTGGTTATATGTTATGGACTGAATGTGTGTGCCTTCTAAAATTCCTATGTTAAAGATCTAACTCCCAGTGCGACTGAATTTGGAGATGGGGTCTCTTAGGAAGTAATTAAGGTTAAACGAAGTCATAAGGGTAGGACCCT